AAATTAATAACTTTCCGAGCATTAAGTGTTGACCAATAAATATGTTATTGCAAAAACCGGCGGACTTTTGCCAATGCCTTATATTTGAAATAGATTTAATAAGATTTGATGACATTATAACAGTAATAATATATAATATTAGTAGTGATAGCATCTAACAAACGGCATTTTGAAATACATTTACATACATTTTGAAAAACTTTAGTTTCAAACATAGTTTACAACGAAAAAGCGATTCTTTAAAACGTAATGAATAGTAACGTATGATTGAAATAATTAAATAATTAAATAATTAACTGAAAGTTTGTTTTTTGATAATAAAAATTAACTCATTTTACAATACAATATGATTTAAGTTAAGAAATGTTTCGCGTATTAAACGATCCCCTCTTCGCTCAAACCTCTGAACCATTTATTTGGCGACAAATGAATCGATGGCTTCGGAGTCGCTATCACTTCGCTTTCCCCACATTCCTCTTAACTGTAATATTAATTATTGTCATCTAATTTGTCTACAATTGAAATGAAATAGTTTTCATACAAACCTTATTCCAGTGGGGTGAGTTACGTTTGCCTGTCAGTCAAATACAAATTTATACAAATTGTCTGTTAGTTATGGCTTTCATATACGCTTTTCTACACTTTATGCCTATTCCTCATCATATTTATAGCAATAATAATAAATAAAATAAATTACTTGTTTAATGAAACACTTAATAGAATTGCATTAAATCTGGTTATCTATTATTAACTCTCTTCTGGTTTTATATAACTTATTGCATATATTCCTCACAAACCATAGGCTATTGTCAGCCATAAAGTTATGAAACTGAAAAAAGTAATTTCTCGAGAATGGGTTTTATAATACGGTAAATGAATGAAATGCCAAAAGCCTTACCCCATCCGCCAGACATGTCATTCCAGCCCCGTTTACCCCACATTCCGTTCAATTCATTCCACGCCCTCTTTCCCCACATACCGGACAAGTTGTTCCAACCGGCGGCCGACCCACCGGCCGGCCTCTTGCCTGTCAAACAACACATGTATTCATATAATAAAATATATTTTATGTTTTGCTTTTCGGGAAGTCATACCCCAAGCGGCCGATAATTTATTGTTCCAGTTGTTGGCTCTCTTACCCCAACCGCCTAAATATTATATGAAATGAATGGCGTTAATGAGGCAAACAATACGATGGAAAAGGGAAAGGCATGCAAACCCTGCAGATTATTCCACTTTTGTGCTCTTTTCTCCTCGTCGTATGAGTCCATCAAATCTGAATCTAACGCTTCTTTAGTTAATTTCTCGTAATTATTAATATCAGTGGCCTTTAGGGGAGATATTTCTGTTTTGTCGGATGAATCTAATGAAGAAGCAGTTCCCAAAACCAATTCTAATTGTATGGCAATTAATGCCATCATTTGAATGATAAAAATGAACAGTTTTGGCGAGGAATGCATAGTATGGCCTGAAATTAGATTATAATCATATGATTAGCTTTCATATCATACTCTCAAACTGTCGTTAAAATTAAGTATTTGATAAAAAGGATTTATTTTTGTTAACTTTTTATAATAAGTTTTTTAAATTTAAGTATAAAGTATTTATTTTATAAATTATAGTGTGTAAAGGTTAAGACAGAACTATAAAAAATTAATTTATTAAAAATTGCAATAAATTAATAGTATGCTTTATTTAGCTATTATTAGAATTAAATATAATAAAAAATTTTCCAAAAAGTATTTAACAAAATGTTTTAAAGAAAATTAGTATTCAAATCGCAAAACATTTGTTTATTAACAGTGTTATTGATATAATAAATTATTCAAGATATGATTTTTTTGGTTAAATGTTTTTATTTGCCTGATATTTAATATAAAAGAATGATTTATATTTCATAATTTACTTTGATTTATAAATCTGTTAAAAATCTGATTTAATAAATAGTTTAGTAAATGATAAGCATTTAATGAAAACATTTTTGTTGTTTAGAGATTTCGAAAAATATTTCATTTGTCAGATTTCAATTGAAATACAAGTTTGACATTTTAAATAATATCAAAATATGTCACAACTGTCATGTGATATGATAAGAAAAGAAAACATGTAAAAGTATACAAGTACAATTTGAATTAAGCCAATTGAAATCTTTTATAATATAAAATTAAATTTGACAAACAATTGTGAATGTTAAAATGAAATGCCCCAATTTTACTTTTCACGTACTAAACATTGTTTAGGAAATTCTGAACTGAGATTCATTTCTGCTAAGACATTAAACTTGTATTTTATATACTTAATATAAACGTTTTCCTTAGTCTTATATTAGTTTTGGAGAATTGAGTAGAGATTAGGAAACAAAATGTGTGAACACTTAAGTCCTACGAGTGTGTGAATGGCAGACAACATTGAAACGCAAAGGTTTGTTTAAAGTGTTTCTTTTAACACAAATAAAACACAAGTTTATACAAAAGTATTTTCACCTGTTGAAAAAGTATGTCTGTCCTAATAACCGTTTGTCAAATACTAAGAATTTAGTTATATTTAAAATAATTACTTATTTAAAAGAAAATAAGGAGTTAAAGAATTTGTCCATAAATTTGGTTTATTTGTTAAATACAATTACAATACTGATATAGATAATTCAATAAAAGAATCAATATTAATTTTTATTTTATCCATGTTTATAGTTTAAATTCTAGGCTTATTTTCTTTGACTTATCCAGTAAGACTGTCCATTATTTTAAAATGTCACAATCTTTCAATAAAATTATTATTTGGAAATATATTTAAAAATAGACATTAAGTATTTTAAAATATATTGTGTAGAATTATTTAAATTCTGTGCCAATAAAATACATATTTAAAAGGACACATGAAATGAATGGATTTATATTTGAAATAATTTGAAATCCTATTTGTATTTATTGAGGATATTATAGTTGAAAACATAATCTTAAAATAATTGGTAATAGTTTTCTAAAAGGTTAGCCCTTTTAAAGTTTTAAATAATATTTTATTGACAAGAATAATATAATCTGAATTTTAAATCTGCTGACTATATATCTTACAAACTAATAGATTTTGTAATATCATTGAAATATTCTCCATAAAAACAGATAAATATAAATATATAGCTCACTATAGCATACGATATAAAACTTCTTTATAGTATTTCACTCATAAGATACCCAATAGTGTCGTACAAATAGCCTTAATTTGCATAAAAAGCTAAATTTCATTTTCAGGTTTCAAACTTATTATTATTAAGCAATGCGTTAAATGAATAAATAAGTGATGGTGTATAATATGTAAGCCAAATGAAAATTGTTGCTTTTATTATCGTAAATCATATGAGGCCCGCAATGATTGCCAATCAAATAATGAGAGCAAATATAATCACTGATTATATGTATTAATAGTTATTTCTTACGGTCATAATTCAATTCTGATATAAGTAGTAGTTTTAATTATAAAAATATTTATTATTAGTCAATTATCAATTAAAAGGTTTCGTAGTTTTATATTTAAATGATTTTATTAATTAGACCCGCATTATGTTGCTTCCTATTTGTGCTAAAATTAGTTGTGATATAAATTTATGGATCAATTTTATACAGCCAATCGTTTGATTATATTTTAACAAGTGTTGATTAGTATACTAGCAAAAATAAAATTAACCAATAAAACTTATATTCTTGAGCTATAATATAACACAAATTCAACTAAAACTATAATTCTGTATAAATTCAAAATATTGTTTCAATATTTTCAGATTATGAATAATAAATAGATCTATAGCACAGTATATTGTTTATAAATGACTTCATTAATCATTAAATAAAGATTTAGATGTACCCAAAACTTTGGCCATACATGCGATTCTTATATTAGAGACTCAAAAGCATATTCTGATAGTGTTTTGCAAACACATGTAAAAAACAAGAATAAATGTTTGGAAATGAATTATTAAGTAAATCATAGGTCTCTTGAGTTCCTCTTTCACTCAATCATTACTCTGAAATTATTTTAAAACTTTTGTGAACAGAGTTTAATAATTTTTAATGGAAAAAATCTTATAAGAAATTTGATACTTATTTACAACATTGCTTTCTATAATATTAAGACATATTATTAGTTTATATTTATATCGATTTATGACCTTTAACAGTATAAACATGGATTGGGTTAAGGGGGTGGGGCTGTAAACATGTCATTCCTGCGGTCACTTTGCGAGTGAACAATAACACAATCATTTTGTATGTTATTTAAGGGCAATATATTTAAATAAAATATTTATTTAGAAATACAATGGTAGAAAAATGTGTATTAATTTTGAAAAACATTTCGTGAGAGTATTGAATAAGTTATTCAATTAATGAATTCATAGAAATTGAGAAATGATTACTCAAAAATAAATAACTAGTATCAAATAAATGACCAAAAGTATAGTGTCTATAGAATTGAGTGAATACACGCCAACTCATTATTACACGAAATGTATAATTCATTTGTATTGTTATTTTGTATTCACTTTCCAAATGAACTTTATATGAAATGTGAACTCAATTCTGTGTTATAATATTTTTGTGGACATCAGTCCAATTACAACACCATTGAGTCAAACAAACCATATTAAGCTTATATATTAAATTGAAATGAGTTGCACTAAAACTAAAATTAGTGACAATATATTGGCGATTGTTTGGCAAATTCAATTGAAAGTAATTGTCACAAATAGGCATCAATTCATCTCACAAATGTTAATTTATAAGAAAAGTATTCAACTTATATACATGTATGTCATTAGGATAGTGTCAATACAGTACAATATTCTCATAATTTGATTGTCATTAATACATTTGAATTCAATTGAAGTAATTTTCAAAAATAAAGTTAACAAATGCTTCCTAATGTTTGCATCCAAATGCAACATAATATTACAATTATTGAGTAAATTCTAAGAAAAATAACTTTATGAACAATATTTTGAATGTTTTGATTTTTAAATTCATTTTTTAAAACTATTTTTCATATATTTTTATGGAAAGATGAATATAATTCAACATTTTGTTCAATAGAAAGACATTGCTTTAAAGTTCTAGTCATTACAATAAAAATGTTTTTATTGCCGTTCATTGAATTGACTTAATTTATTGGTATTTTTACATTAATCTTAAAAAATATCCTAATTTCTTAAGAAAATTTTTATTATTATATAAGTTTTTGTTGTAAAAACATTTGTAATGACAACAAAAAGCGGTAAGAATTGAATGAATAGTTGTTATGCTCCCAAATATTGTTTTGAATTCAAATAAAATATTAATTGTTAAAAAAATATTTGTCATACTTTAGAGTATAATAAAAAACAAACTATTTTCTAATTTTCTTAACATGAGAACAAATGTCAGGGGTGACCAGCAATATATCTATACCCCTGTCTATAAAATGAATACTCCATATACACACAAAAGACATAAAATAGGTAAAGAAAAAATTTAATTATAATATGTTTATTACAAATATAATGTGACATATTTAACCGATTGGTTTCATTTGGTAGTTATATTTCAATTAAATAATTTCTATTATTAACGTTTGCATGTAAACTCATAAAAACATTTTAATAGTTACCGGTATGTAAATTTAGTAGAAATATCATTAACTAATGAGAAGATTTTAATTGAAATTATTTGAATTTTTTATACCTCATAGAAATAAAAGAAATGGTAATTAAAAACAAGGAATTGTTTTCAAGTAAGCGAGTACTTTGAAATGAAAAATATTTTGAATTGCTTTGCTTATTCTGTGTAAAGTAAATACTATAAACAGCTTAAGCATATTGGGCAACAATTTTCTCATAAATTATTTTTTTGGGTTATATTTCTACATCTTATGGGTGATAAAGATAATATTTTAAAACTTTCTCTGAGAATTTTGGGCTATATAATATTTTTATTTCTATTAATAAAATTCTGGAATATGGGTGAGAATGTTATTAGTAAAGAAAATTAAATTTTTATGGAAATATCTCTTATGAAGTTTATTATTTATGCTTTTAATGAATTGTACATCAAGTGACTTTTGACTTCTACCTGACCTATGCCTATGGCCTTTAAAAACATTTGTTTTCCTACAGTAATACTCCGCCAACAATATTCCATTGTCATAAATGCTAAGCAAATATTCATATTATTACAAATATGGTGCAATATTTATGAAACAGAAAAATATCATGCTTACTTGTTAGTAAAAACTATTCTGAAGTAATCCGCAGAATTAACATTACATGCAATGATAAACTGTAAGAGAATTGTTTCTAAAATGTATGATTTGGCAAAAGTGTTTATTTTAGTCATTAGCTCGAGTTTTATATTTTCTTAGTTCTCAATAATTAACTAAACATTGAAGACATCCTTCGCTTCTTGGAAAACATCTTTCGGTTATTTCATACATTTTATTGACTATAAAGAGCACAAAAATACAGAAAATCTTATTAATAAAAAAAAGAAACTAAAATATTTTGTTTAGAGAAAAGCATATGTTAAAAGACAAACTGTTTTTCATACAACTCTATACAAATCTATATTTTTGTATTTTGAGATTTAAAACATAAAGTTTATTCATTCACAATTGTATTTTAAATAGAAAAAATTAGCATAAATTATAATATATACATAAGAAATATTGCATAAATATATTCAAATAAGATTTAATTAGCTTAAAATTAATATGAAAACATTTTATAATAAATAATAGTTTATCTAAAACAAAATATATAATAAATTATCGAACATATAATAATAATAATTTGTTTTTGTTGAATAATTTAATAATTGTTCAGAAATTTAAGTTGAAAAACGATTTAAATAAAAAGAATTTTGATTTATGCTTGAAATTAAATTATTAAATATCATTTATGAATGAATATTCGTAGTCTCAGTGAAGTTTAATAAAACTTATGGAAATTTGATTGAAATATTGCAGACGTTTTCAACTTTATAACAGTATGTTATGAGAGGATAGAAAACACTTTACGAATAAGTGATCCATTTCTAAACATTATAGACATTATTGTATAAAAGTTTATATTTCACTCATACTTCTACTGTAAGTTCTCATTATAAATTATTCACATTCCTTTGTAATACATTTTTTACAAAATTTAATTTATACTAAATATGATATACAGTAATATAGCAAAGAATTTGTGTTGAACTAAAATTTACTAATTATACTAGAAATGCAATGAATTAAATATTGATTAAGATTAGTCGGCACTTATGGTGAACACAAACAAATCCCTTGAATTGAACGCTACATTAGTGATGATTGTGTGAAACAAATGTAATACAAATGCTTTGGACATCGATTACGATTAATGTTTGCATTGCACTCAATGAGTGAGGATTAATGAATTACATCCTAAACGTAGACTCAATTTATACTCAATTATCAAACCAATAGTTCATAACTAATTACATATACTGTATATTATTTTAAAGTAATTTTCTATCAATTTCATTATCTATACGGTATAGACTATACCTTTAAACAAGTTCACTTTGTTATGATTTACTACTGCTTAACTGTTAAGCCTTAACACTATATGTGATATAAATATAATAAACTAAAAATTAATTAACGTTAAAGCATAGAAATTGTTTAGAAAGGCGTTGTGTTACTAGTCTAGTATATCTCATATCTAATTATCGCAAATAAAATGTAAAAATAATAATTTGTTGAAATGAAAAGCAAAGGGAAAGGGAATGGGATTCCTATGCGATTGCAAAAGATTTCGTTTTGGCTTAAAGTATTAGACGTTTGTTTGGTGCGAGAACTTCACTGCACTGCAGGTAAGCATATCTTGTTTGCACACAAATATATTCCGTGTGTCTGTCTGTGCTCTCACATCCAAATCCTATCTTAAATTATAGGATATTGTGTTCAATCAATTTAATCGACAAATTAGTATTCAATGATTATATTACAATACATCATATTTATAATTTACGTAAATGTTATCCTATATTATCCGCAAAGTTGCGAAACAGTTGAATATTTTAAAGATTTATTACTTTTATAAATTAATTTTAATATATTCTTGTCTTAACAGTAAATTAATTTAAGAAATGTAACAACTTATAAATTAATAAGAAATGTATGATGAGGTTGAATTGTTTGTAATTTAAATTTATTTTAAACTAAAGGCTTGTCTTGTGTTTCTTAAAGGTTGGGTTCATCCAAAACTTTGTTGTACTGTATATAAAGATTTGATACCAAAAAAGATCATTAAACATACAATTGTCTGAAACGCTATAAAAATTTCAACCCATATAATGAATACTTATTTCATATTTTCACACTTTTATAGTTTATTTATATTGTTATGAATATGTTTTGTGTATATAACATGTAATACAATATTCTTTTGAAGCTTTTGAAAGATATGAAGACATTTGTTATTTCATGTGACATGTGATGGAAATGTGTTGAGAAGTGTTTTGAATAATTAATATATCGATAAAACATTGCCTCTATATTAGCCATAATTTTAAAATTCAATTTTAGTATGATTACATATTTGTTATACGAAAGCTATATTTGTTATACATATTTGATTACATATTTGTCTTGAAATATGTAATCAATTTGAAAACAGTTGGAAATTCATTTTTTGTGTTTCAATTATATATTTTTCTAATTCAACAAATATTCCTTATATTAAGTTTAATGAAAAATATTTATTAAAGCACTGCTAGTATTAGGTGTGAATACCATACATTACATAAAAAATATGTTGATTTGAAACGATTTTTTCACTCAAACATAATAAGCAAATGGATATTATATAGATTTTCATTTTTATTTATTATTTCAACTGCTTATTTATTTATTAGACTATATATATTGTAACAGTAAATAATAAATAAAACTAATGACATTTTTGAATTATAACTCAAAATTTATGTAACGTATATTTTTATTTAAAATACCTATTAAAATTTTAAAATTTATTTATGGTTTAAAAAATAATTTTCCTAAAAACATGCCTAAAATTATTGTTATTTATACAGTATAATTTAACAGAGCCACGAGTGGTTTAACTGATTTTAGTCAACTTATACAAAATACGGTATACATTTTATACATATGATAAATTTGATTAAACTTTTCATTAAATAAAACAATTTTTCATTTATAAGAAATCTTGATTTAAACAATATTAATACATATTTTCATAAATTGTTGAAAACCTATTACTGTTTTCTTGGAGGCAAATTGATAAGTAACTTTTATTCTGTATAATCAAGACTTTAAGCTACAATTAAATTTAAATTTTAGGCAAAATTTTCATTTATTTGATCTTTACTCTAAAAATATAATTTTATAAAACAATGGTTGTGTTATTTAATTATTAATAGTTTATGACCTTTATGACTCTAATTTTGAGATTAAATATAAAATCTTATGTCTCATTTTAAAACATTATTATGAAAACAATTATACTTTGCTATAATATTATCCCTTAAAGTGATAACATAGAATAACATTAAGTTTAGAGTTACATGAAAAAATTAGTTTTGTAAATAAAATTTTACGACAGACTTACCTTTCTTCTATCTAATCGTTAAAATCCTAAAAGCAAATGAATATATGTATGATTTGAACACAAAAATATATCATACAAAACTTATTTTGCAACAAAATATGACTTTTTGGTACAAATTAAGGTGAAAATCTAAAAATTGTTGGCTTGAAGTGAAACTAAAAGTAATATATAAAAGCTGAGTCTCGGAGTGTTTATTGACTGTCAATTGAGTACAGAATAACACTTTCCTTTCGGTGGAAATCGCTTTTATATTAAACGATATTTAAAGGGAAAGTAAACTGAATTTGTGTCCACTTTATAGTGTGTTGGGTCGGAGTGTTTCAAACTGACACCTATGCCTAGGAATGGCTCAGAGGACTGTTACGTTTATGTAGAGCACGCCTATGATTATTATATGGATGTGTGCTATAGAAAGCAATGCTCTACCAGCGCGTCATACCAAACGCATGACTATATACAGAGTATTGTATAGTTTTTCAATCTCATCAACAATTTCTTATTTCAATTAAAATTTTCCATTTATTAAATTTACTATTTGTTATCATCAAATATGTTTTATGTCTACACATATAATTAATCTCTTAAATCCCGGTCTAATTGTATGGGAAAGAGTTTTAGTAAAAGCGATTTTCGCAGATTTTCAAACGATTTATTGAATTTTCTCGCACTTGTCGCTATATTTTAACGTTAAATGAGTACTGTATTTGAAATATACCAGTTTTTAAATATTCTTGTGAGACAAATAGCACACAAGTTATTTATTATTTAAAAGTTATTTTATTTTTTGTGTTTTGTTAAAACTAAAATTTTATTTAGACATAAATTATTTTATGATTTATAAAAATTTTAGTACAATATTAACCCACTCAATTAAGTAATGAATACTTGTGCCGTATTGAATTTTTTGAATTAATTTTAATATTTTATAATAAAATATTTGTATTATGATTATGTTTAAAAGTTATTAGACAGGCAGTTTTTATTGGTAACTTTACTTTACAAAATTATGTAAAAATAGAAAAACATGTGTAATATTTATTTTTATGTTACCAATAAATGTATTTATAAATATAAAAATAGTTTTAAAAATAACGATTTACTAATATTGTAAATCATATCAATTTATAAATATTAATCACATTAAGATATTAAATACTGTAATAACTTTCCTAAGATTTTTAAAAAATTAAAAATAAAACAAACTATAATGTATATTTATATAGATTTATTATATCATTTGGCAATTGTCTTGATTGAAAAGCAACTGAAAATCCGCGAAATGGACTAAATTTTTAAAAAAATCTCTATAATGAAAAAGTATTGCCATTGAGTTGTGCGGACAAGAAATGTTAGGAAACAAGAAAAAAGCTAAATGTGTGACAAATGTCAGCACAACTCAAATGATTAACTAAATTATACCATTGTTTTTAAAACAAAAGCCAAACCTATTGACACTTTTAGTCGAGCGAAATGTTTGTAAGGCTTTTATATATCTTATAATTAGTGCTCAAAATTGTTGAATTAGTTTTAAAAATTAGTCTTATATTTACACAGTCGCTGTGCTAAATTGTGAGTTTGTTTAAAAATTGTCATCAATTAAGTAAATATTAGAGTTTATAAAAGAATCAAATGATAGTCAAAATGTTTGTGCAGTATATTGGGATCACATCTAATGAATGTTAATAAGTGTTAAATTATTTTTAATCGCTTTATCACAGCAGCAAACGTCTGGCAATTCATTAGAGACTTGTTTATATAACCCTAAGAAAGCTATTGCTTTAATAATTGTGAATAAATTGCATTCATTAATGATGCCTCCCGTGAATTGATTTTTAATATTTATATTTTGCTTGGCAATTTATTTGCAAATACCATATTTTTATATAACCCTAAGAAAGCTATTGCTTTAATAATTGTGAATAAATTGCATTCATTAATGATGCCTCCCGTGAATTGATTTTTAATATTTATATTTTGCTTGGCAATTTATTTGCAAATACCATATGCAAGCAAATGACTTTCAAGATATATTCAATTTCTGTAATATCCGGACTGAATGTCTAGGTTCTAGAAGTAAGTGATAATTATATGTAAAAATAATAGCAAAAGTCATTCACAATAGATGTGTACATAAAGTTAAGTCTCGCATAAAAGTCTACGAAAAATGTCATAAATTGTTACATAAAATGCATACGTTTTTCTATATTCAAATTTCCAGTGATTTTTATTTTGAAACTTATTAACAATGATTTTAATTATGTATTTGAAAGCTTTTATCGTCTAAATTGTCTCTTATTATGTATGAGTGTGTTATTTGAATGTCAAAATCAGTTCAATGGTACGCAATCAAAGTGACAAAATATTAAACATTATACACACTATGCCTTAAAATATCATCTGAACTGAAAAAGTCTAAAAATATTTTATGTGAAAGTTTTTATGATGGTTTTGTTAAGTTTATAAATAAGCTTATATAGACATTTATGTGATCAATATTTACAAATGTCTACAAGATTTCAAAGAATTACTATCTTTTGGTTATTGAAATTCTGTCTGTTTTTGTGTCATTTTATTTATTGAAAAGCAAAAAACAACAAATGATTCCTAAATCATAAAAATAGAGATTTTTGTGTTGATAAAAGATTTGAGTAAACTATCATTAAATTCTAGTTACTGTTATTTCAAGTGTTAAAACATTAGTTTACTTAACATTGATTTTTTTGAGAATAATAATAAAATTGAGAACACTTTTAGCTTTAAAATTATTTATATATAAAAATAATTTTACAAAATATGATAGAGAAGTAAAAGTTATTAATACAAAAAAGTCATTATTATAAATTAGGTAAGTAATTGAATTATTGTAAAATAAACATAAACATACCTATAGTTTGTATACTGAATTGGAAATTTTTTTTTAATTTTTAAATTTTTAATATTGATTTATTTAAGAATTCAAGTGTTGCTTTATCATTTATAATATCATTTGTTACGTTCATTGATAATTTGCTAATTAATAAATTTGAAAAACATACAAAACCTAGTAATTAGGTGGAGATGATAAGTGCATTTGAGTGAACCAAACATACGGAATGGCAATAAAATGGTCTTAATAATGATTTGCCATTAAATACATCATTTTATTCGCTTTGCTTTAGTCCTAATTCATGACATTAAGTGGGATTCACTAAACTAATGCCATAATATTTATTCAATATTGAAATATTGATAAATTATTCCCTTTCGATCATATTAAGGGATCAACTGGATCAAAAAAGTTTTGCTCACTTTTCTTACAATTTTCTCACTTTTACTAAATCTATAGATTAAATAATTAATTAAAATAAAGTTCAGAACTATAGGAATACGAGCAATAGATTTTGAGTTAAAATAAACTGCCTAATAATATTTGTCTAAACATTAGCCAAAATAATTTTATTTGTTTTAATTGATCACATAATCCATACGAATGTCTGAATGTGTCTCAATGTTCATTACGTGCCCATCCATACCGGTTCGCACAGTTATCCTGAGTTATACCTTTGAATGTCACAGAAATTTACTGTATGTTTGAATTGACTCAAAGCGTTTAAACGCTTTTAATATAATTTATTTTTTTGATTAAAAAAGCAAAACTGGTTAACTAACCTTTAAATGAAAGTGCTATAATAAGCGCACCGACCTATTTAACAACCATT